AAAGCTACCATTAACGCTCTATTTATGAAAAAGGAAAATTATGTTTTTAGTGAATTTTCAGAAGTTTCGCAATCGCAAAATTGTTTTTTTTAAGAGAATTCACCAAGTTATCTGCTTTTGATTTAATAAGAATAGTTTATGTCTGCTTTTTTTGCGTGAATAACATTGAAAAGATGCAATATTTTGATTGTTTCAGTGCGTTGATCATCTGAGAAATACTAACAACATATGTGACAGATCCAGGATTTTCCTCCCTGAAAAAAACATGCAGATGAAAAAAAAAAAAAAAAACGAACCGACTTTTAACTCACCAAAACTTTTCAAATCAAACCTTCAGAAATTCAAAAACCTTTCCAGTCGTTATCGTATTTTCCTCATTTTGGAGTATAGGGAGTTGGGAGGAAAAAAGGGATTGAAAGTGTTTCGACTGAAGTTCAACATTCCTCCTGAATCCGTCACTGTGTGAGTAAAGTGAATCACAGTTTGAGCTAACCATCTGTTTTTCAGTTGGAAAAAGAAGGCAAACCGAATCCATTCTCCGGCTGAATCCTGGGATCCTGGATCCGAAATCTGGAGTTCTGGTACGGCCCCTGCCACCACCACTATCGTCATTATTGTTATTATCATCAGCTTTATTTGTTCTATTTTTCATGATTTGCAGATGCAGAGAGAAGGTAAACCGTATCCGGACATCATCAAGCAGGATTTCAGTTACAATATACCGCAATTATGAATTAACAATTGCCAGTCACTTTCAAATTTTGTGCCATTTTCTGCGTACTTCCTTATAAAATCCCTATGCTTGTGGGTTTTGCTATGTGTGCAAAAATAAGCCCAAGGAATAATTCATTTTTTTTTGCAAAATACCCGCCTCCGAGTTACTTTTCTCGTGCACTACTACTTCGTGCTAAATAAAAGCTTTTCTTTCATTTTCTTTTGACAGTTTCACAGCAAACTCTTCAATATTAGATCAGCATAAAATCCAAGAACCAGCTGATATGTCTGGAGAGAAAGTGACGCGTCAAGTCCTAGATCTCTTTGTTCTTTCGTAGTTGTGAAGAATCTCGGATCCGCTACCTAGGTTTCTACTGGATGAACAATTTCCGTAGCTCCAAATCATGCAAAAGAAATTCCTAGTGAAATACCTGGATTGTTGGGCTAATGAGTTAAGAACTGCCTTAGTTCACATGTTTTTTTTAAGTTCCAGAACAAAGTTGTCTTCCGTAGTGAGCTAAGATAGAATTTTGAATTGGCTGTTGAGTCCAGTTGACTTTTGCTGCAAGCGGTGTAGCTTCTGCAAACAACATGAATCGAGAGGAAGTCGAACTCCCAGTTTTCAGTATCTCCGGAGAATTCGAATAATTACGTGCTATCCACTACACACCCATTTCCTTGTTCCACTCTCAAAGGATGAATCTTACATGTTTGCATTTTGTCACCCACATGCATTCATCTTAAGGTATCTGGTGCTGCTACTACAAGCAACGGATACTTACTTAATTGTACCGACTTTTCGTCGACGTCAGCAACAGCGTCCACTTCTAATTTCACGAATGTGAATACATGAAAATACTAGTGAGTAAAAAGTTGCTGGCAGCAGAGCTTTTCGAATGCTCGCTGCTCGAAGCCGCCAAGATATAAGAAGAGTAAAACAATGCAAGAAACTATGCCTCTGATTTTGATGAACGAGCGACTGTCTGTATTTCTCAGATTATTTCTCCCAATATGTTTGACTGCTTTCAGCTATGCTAAAATTTGTGTGAATGTAAAAAAAAGACAAAACAAAATCACAAGGAAGTAAAATGAGAAGAAGAAATGAAATTTTTGCGAAATTCTCAGTAACACTCATCAAGCAGCGCTTTTCAAATCACTGGCGAGGCTTCAATAACAGCTGTTCTCCAGATCAGTGTTTCTTCACATTATTTATTTGAAACAAGTCTTTTCGTTGCTGAATCAAATTTCATGACATGTTACATAGAGCCATACGAGAATTAGTTCATCAAAGTGCGTCACAGCGAAATGTGTCCGGAACGATCAAATGAACCAAGCGCAAGCACAATTTTGGATATATCGACAAAACTCAATTTCAACATTGGTCCTTAATTTTTCGGCTTATTCTGTAAGTGATCGTAATTTGGACAGTATTCAG